CATTGTAGTGGGGCAGACCTTTACTATGTTCAAGAATGGGAGTCCATTATATACCTCCATGAAGGGTCCTATTGTTCACTATGCCTCCCCTTAGCTATTGGGTCACTAACAGATATTATACAGTATGAGATGGTTAAAAAGCAAGGAATGTATTTCATTATCTTTACAATATTGTTTTCGAACTTAATTCAAATTGATTTCATCCTCAAATACATTTTATTAAGTTAAAAAATATATTTGACTTTAATCTTAATAAAATGGGGCCTTCTTCACTGTAAATAAGTTTGACATAAGTGTAGTATTCCCCCACTCTGCCAGCAGTAAGCTCAGGAATTCAAGAACATTTGGTCTGCAATTCTATTTCCAAACAACATTCTGATATATAAGCATTTAAAAGCAAATGCACTAATCTTCACTTCAAGATTCTTCTATTTATTTACATTTCTGTATTGCTAAAAAGATGTGTGTGGTGCACATCCCTACCTGGCTGCAATCACACCTCCCTATGATGATTTATATGTAACTATATTCTCTCCGGTCATGAAAAACTCACTGCAGGGAGGAGATATGTGGAGAATTCTATGTAGAGGACCATCCAGAGCACCCTACAGAAACTCCCAGGAGATGTGCAGAGAGGATGGGGTTCTCAGACTTGTGAGAAAGCAGGGTTCCCCCTCTACAGATGATTTGACATCTTTATGGTCTATTAGGTCCTCAGTATTGCTCTCTGCCCAGCTGTATTCTCCACATCTCTGCTGCTTCTAAATAGTTAAAGTTGCTCCCTTCTGTCCCTCAGCTTCCTCATCTGTAAAATGGATAACTCACATATCTGAGTCAGATGCTGTAATAATTAGTGTTTTCAAACCACTCTGAAGATTAAAAGTCCTAAGTATCTTATATACAATGATGATCTTATGCGCTGCACTACTTTGAAAGTTGTGGGTTTTTTTAATTTCCAATTAGCAAATTCCATTTTAAGAGCCTGTCTAGAAGAAATAGGATTAAGTGTCCAATCCTGTGATGTTCCCCACAGGATATTCAGAACCATAAGCCACTGTGTTACTCCTCTGCCTTAACAAGAGAGAGCTTTGCTGGCACTTGCACCGTGTCAGATCCGTACCACACAGTCTGTCCACCTCACCAACAAACGCCTCAAGATTGCCAGTTCAAACTTTGACTTGCTGGTAACCTACAGTGCACTCTAGTTCGAGTTCCTCAGAGACATTTCTCTGCAGTATCCAGTCCCTGTCACTGGACAGTCACAGAAATTAAATATGCTGCCTCTAAAGAGACAGCACAAACCCTGGCCTGTTAGTTTAGCTGAGGACTCACACTTCACTTTAATGCGCAGCACTGAAGTGGTTTTGTAATAAAAAAGAATAAGTTTATTAAAAGAGAACAGAGATTTAAGTCATATTAAGAAGGAGAAAACAAGACAGTTATGGTTAGAAACTAAACTATACACACTTTCCAGTGACTAAAACTTAATTTTAGCAAGTTACATTCTTTACCTAAGGAGGTTTTTAACTTACATCAAGTTATCGGCAACACCATCCATTCAGGTAGGAGAGTCCCTTTTCCACAGAAATTTGTATCCTAAGTGATGAATAACTAAAATGTCTTTTTACTCTCTCTCTTTATATTATCCGAAGTCCATTGCCTTTGCTTCCAGAACCAGGAAGGCTTCCTGGGGGCTCAGTCTGTGTCCCGCTGTTTCCTCCCCTCCTTGTTAGCTTGATTGCTTTGTTTACCTTGTATGCCAATGTACTTTCATTGTCTTCTTCCAGTAATCAAGCCAGGCAGACAGGGAAATCCACATTCCTTTGTTTAGGGTGGGCTTGATTTATACAGTGCCTCCAAAACACATTTTAAGAACATATTTCCAGCATACATATATAATTATTTATACACAACCCATACAAACATCACACAATGATATTCATGACCAGTATTTCACCATTTACATATGATACATTACAAGATACCTTTTGTATACATATTATGACAGTATTTTGAGGGGTAGTGTCAGGCCTGATATGAGTTACAGTATAGGGGGCCTCCTCCTGTGGGCACTGAGGGGCTGTTATGATCATAGTGTTGATCGCCTTTAACTCTTGCTAAATCCAATCCTGACATTCTTATACAGTAGCAGCTCAGGCAAAACTTGCACTGAACGGATTTGAATGTGACCCTTCACACATCTAAGGGACTATTCAAGGTGCAGAGCTTAAATTCATAACTTTGCTAGACACTACAAATCATGGTCTTAATAAAGACATTGGATTTATGACATATTACAATAATCTGTAATCCACTAACCTTCCTTTTTATCCTATGACTACAGGGGTGTTAATGGGCCACTTCACCTTGAATGGTCCCTTAGAATATGTGCTAACTACTTATTCCAAGCTGCCTGTTTGATCTTGTATTTAGCTCTGACACTCAGAGTACCTTTTCCAGACCTGAGGAAGAGCTCTGTGTAGTTCGAAAGCTTCTCTCTCACACCAAGAGAAGTTACTCCAATAAAAGAGATTGCCTCATCCACCTTGTCTCTGTGTGTGACAAAGGGCTGCAGCTGCGCCATCGTAAACTTTCTAATATAGCCATTCTAAGCCGACAGGAGAGAGCTCTTCCATTGGCTTACCTAACTCCAGCCCCCGCGAGCTCTCCCACTGACATAGCGCTGTCCACACCAGCACTTATGTTGGTGTAACTTATGTCACTCAAAGGGGTGATTTATTCACCCCCCGACTGACATAAGTTATACCACAGTAAGTGCTAGTGTAGACATAGCCAAAATAAGTCTCAGGTCACCCCAAGTGACATCCCCCCAACTCGTATCTGTTTTGAACTATCTGAGACATGGAACTCCCTTACTTGAAACTTTATTTGTGAAAAATGGTGGCCCAATGACACATATACACCCTTTAGCAGGGCTAACATGAGCTAGCAAAACAGGGATGTTTCAGAGGGTGAAGCTGTGGATCCTGCATTTGCAGATAGAGGGAGTTGGTGTGTGTTGTGTTTCTTCCCTGTTTGTATTTTTCTTCACGAAGGTTGTGTGGCTGGGCTACGTGCCCCTGAACTGGCCAGTGAGACAGATCTGTTTATGCCTCAATGAAGGCCTTTGAACAGAACCAGTGTTTCAAATCTCTGAGTGGTTGTTCCCTCTCTGTGAGGGTGGGAACTGAGCATTGAGGCTTAGTCAATTGCCAGGTGAACAGGACTTGCAAACTAGATGAGTTTCAGTGGAGGTTTACAGAGGGCAGACGATTCCTGTTTTAGGTATGTCGCTATACCAAGTAGGAGAGATGGATGGTGAGAGAAAAACTACTGTGACCTGCCTTGGATGTGCTATGTTTTCCTTTCTTCTGGAAGACAGAATAAATTTCTACAAGTTGGTGGCCATACTTGAGGAGAAGTTATGTGGTCTGAAAGCATAAGTTACAACCTTGTGCAGCATCTGAGAAAATGAATACTTCTTGGACAAAGCAGACTGCAAAGAGTTACAAAGGGATTTCACAAAACTGGGTGACTGGGCAGGGATGTAACCCCATGCTCTGAGCGTCCCTAGCCTCTGTTTGCCAGAAGTTGGGAGTGGACGACAGGGGATGGATCACTTGATTGCCTGTTCTGTTCATTCCCTCTGAAGCACCTGTCATTGGCCACTGTCAGAAGACAGGATACTGGGCAAGATGGACCATTGGTCTGACCCAGTATGGCCGTTATTATGTTCTTAACCAGATATGGAAATCATTATCACAGATACCTCCAGGGGAAAGATCGGCAATAAGAGAATTAGAGAAAGTAGAACCAAAGAAGTGGACAAGCAATTGTGACCAAGAGAGGAAAGAGAGCCAGGAGACATTTAACTCAACAAAAAGTATCAAAACATTTTCAAATACTCAGCAAGTCAGCTATGGAAGAATCTGTCTCTGGAGGAATGGAACAGAAAGGTGCCAGCAACATACCTGATGTGTGTTCTTTCAGTGTGAAATAAGCAGCAGTCAAGAGGTTTTTTTCAGTCATCCTAAGAATGCAGACAATCGACACTAGCGATTACATATTGAGAAGGGTGGACAGAGAATTCAGTAAGGGACACAAGGACAATAGGATGGCATGCTATCTCCCTGAGTTGTAACCACAGGATTAGATAGGTTTATGAAGTTGTCTTGCAAGTCTCCACTGATAGTGATACACATTGGAACCAATGACAGAGTATCACATGGAATACACAGATTATAGAAGACCTCTAGCATCTTGGAATGGAGTGGAAGAAAAGGAAAGTTCACATGGTCTTGTAGATCCTACAGGTCCAATGAGTGAGGGAAGGAAGAAAATACTGGAGGTGAACTGTTGGCTGCACAATTGGTCTGAGACTGAAGGTTTTGATTTTGTGGAACATTGGTCCACATTCCCTTGGGAGAGGTGACTGTACAACTGTATGGGCCTGCATGTCACAGGTAGGGGGCTGACCTTCTTGGCTGGAGACTACCTGGAGCAGCAAGGAAGACATTAAACTACCAGTGCAAGGGGAATTCAAACTTAAGAGGTCATGAGCAAATTGAACTGATATGGCAAAAAACACAAAGAAGAATTTTTCAATTGCTTATATACCAATGCTTTCTAGCTATCAAAAAAGAAGAATTACAAATTCTCATTCTTGCAGCATGGGTTACTTGCTGGTTTTAACTAAAGTAAATGGTGGATTCTGTGTAGCTTGAAGTCTTTAAAAATCAAGATTTGCGAACTTCCGTACCGCAGCCAGAGGTTATGGACCTATTGCAGGAGTAGATTGGTGAGGTTCTGTGGCCAGTGATGTGCAGGAAGTCATACTAGATGATCATTCTGGCCTTAAAGTCTATGAGAAAAATGTTTTTATATAATTAGCATTACAGAAACCTGGTTGAACAATTCACAATTCACCAAATGATTGGTTTTAACCTGTTTAGGAAGAATAGAATGGGTAAAAGAGGTATATGTTGGGTTTTTTGGGGGTGGGGGGGGGAGTAGCACCTTAATTTAAAAACACCATTATCTGTTTTAGAATAATTCAGAACCACAGGGTCTTGAATGTACATGGATCAATGTGCTAATTAATAAAGCCTAGGATAGGGTCTGTTACAGGCCACTAAATCAAACCTGAGAACAATATGAGTTACTCCTTACAGACCAATGCTTAATGTGTTGACAGAAATGGTGCTGTTATGGGGGAATTCAATTTAGGAGACACGCTGGAGGCCTCATGCAGCCACTAATAAAACATCATTCCAGTTATTAGAAATTATAGATAACTTTCTAACACATGAGGTACTGCATACAGCAGGAGGTAGCTCCGTTTTGGGTGTCATTATGACAGGTAATGGTGAATTAATCACTGCACTGGATGTTGGTGGTAGGGGACCAGTGATCATGACCTGATTACATTCAATATAGGCAAACACAGAGAACAGTCCCAACCAGTAATATATATAGACTTGGTTCTACAAGAGGGCTAATCTCCCAAAGCTGAGGAAAATTATGAATGAAATTGATTGGGAGAAAAATTAGACAGAAAAATGTGAATGAAAATTGAGAGTTCTTTAAGAGGAGCTTTTTGGATGTACGAAGAGCTGTGCTTCCACAATCAAGAAAAGTGATCAGAAACTTATGTTGTCATATACTGTCTATCAAAACTCAGCTTCTTATTTAATTAATTAGTAATTAACATTTGTCACAATCACATTAATTTGATGAAGTTTCTAGAAATTTAATCTTACACCGATATTCTTAAAATAATTTTGGCCTTTGGGAGCCACAAATAAAGAATTGGAGTAAGGAACCAACTTTAGCCTCTTGGTAGACGTTTTATTTCCCTCAGAGCCTGCTGGGGGCACCAACACATCCTTAAAAACAAATAATGAAACTGGGTAAATAAAACTAGAGAAACAAACACCAACATTTACATCTGATAAAAATCATACAGTGTACACACTAGACTTAAAAATAAATTTTACACTAATATTTACAGGATTCTTTTTATAATCTTAAATATTCTTCACAATCAAACACTTACAGGCTCGTGTACAAAAATCATTTACGTTATGGTCAGACTAAATGATTAAGGAGTGAGCTGTTTATAGCATAGACAGCCCTGAGGGAAAAGTGTTCTAGCCAAGAAGAACAAAGGTGAGCTGCTGGATAAATACTAAGAAACGCCACAGCTGAGGGCTTCGTTCTGGCTGCCACAAACAGATGGCATTTATTGGTAGCAAACAGACAGTAGAGTGCTGTTGTGCAACACAATCTGCCCTGTAGTAAAACAGCACCCATCAGGTGCTACCTGCTTGTACAAGCAAAGAGAGGAGTCTGAATGAATTAAAACATGTTAGTGATAAGACACCACAAAATAAATGATGCAATAAACACCCATTTTGCTGCACAGAGATTTCCACATAGAATTCCTATTAGTGCTAGAGGAAGTTGTGAACAAATCTACAAGCTTCAAGATACGCTATATCAGGGGTCCCCAACGTGGTGCCCGTGGGCGCCATGGCGCCCGCTGGGGCGTCTAAGTGCACCTGCATGGCCGGTGGACGAGCATCTGCTGAAATGCTGCCGACAAGCAGCGTCATCCAGAGGCGTCGCCGCCAAAATGCCGCCGATTTTCGGCGGCGACGTCTCTGGATGCTGCTGCTTGTCGGCGGCATTTCGGTGGCGACACCTATTGATGTTGTCGCTTGTTGGCGGCATTTTGGCGGATGCTCGTCCACCGCCATGGTCCTCCGTGGCTCGTCGTCTGGCACCCGCCAGACAAAAAAGGTTGGGGACCACTGCGCTATATTGTGTATAGCCAAACTCTTCAGAAATCTTCACTTATTTTCAGTGGTCTCTTATTTTCCTGATGTGAGTTTTTCCATTTCAAGGTCTCTCTTGTCCCCTGAAATTAACAAGATTCATGCTTGACAATAGCTTTTAAATTATCTAAAAATGTCTGTTTTTCCAATGGATTCTTTCATAGTTTAAAGAAGGAAGACAGGGATAAAGTGGACGAGGCAGACTAGAGAAGGCTAGGAGAAAAAGCAAATGAGGAGCAGGCAAAAAAAAGAGGGAGCACTAGACTGGAAAGAAATGGCTGGAACAGACTGCAGAAATTCATTGAATCCTAATATGCACAGTATCTGAATTTCTCAAGGACAAGGCAGAAGTGACTGTAATTTAACAATCATCATACTGATCAAGAAAAAAAAAGCATTATTTTCTTGGCCAAAACAGAGAATGATTATTGTCATGCTGAATGGGGTGGCTCACAGCCGTGAGTGTCTACCTCAGGGCAGACTGTCAAAAACAGATTTCACCAAGCCAGTAACAAATGTGAACTCCTGGATCACAATATCAATCTTACCATGGAATCACAGACAGTCCCATTACACTGGAGAGTCTATCTTGCTACCAGACAAACTGGACTTTGTGATAAATGGTCGCTTACATTAAAAAAAATAAAAATAAAAAAAATAAAGAAAAAAATCACACCACATTCAGGTTGCTCTCAATCCCGAGAGACCAGTCACTTACCCCAAATCAATTGCTACTCTAGATTCTACACCAAAGACGATGCTTGTAGCCAATCCTGTAATAAACTATTTGAAGGTTTATTAACTAGCAATAAGGAGTAAGAGAGCGATTTTAGAGGTTAAAGCAAGCAAAAAATATACACACCAATCAGTTACCCTCTAAATCCTAAGAGTGACAGAGTTGTGGTGATCTGTCTATTCAAGGAGTCTTTCAGGGCAGCCCCTGGAAGCAGCCCCCTTGGGATCTCTGACTTCAGTTTACAGTCTCTGGCCCTTCGGAGTTCAAACAGCCAAAAAGACGCAGTTTCTTCTTCTCCGGGATTTTTATTCTCTTCCCCCCAGAGTTCAAGATGATGGGATGAGTTCACTTGTACGTCTCCTCTTCCTGGGGCGGCAGGGGGAGGGGGGAACTATCAAAGTATTTTGTCCTCTGATGTTCCACAATGGTTTGTCTGGTGTCTATGGGTCTTTTATTGGGCAAGAGATAACACCTCTTGTGGTACACTAGTATTTCACACTTAGTAATGTTTCTCTCCTGACTGGGTTTTACAGTTTCAGAGCAAAACATGTAAATATTATCTTATAACATGGGATACAGATATTATAAGTGAGATTAATGCATGCAGCAACATACAAGCATTTCATAGAGTCTAAACACTAAATACATTCTTTTAAGACTAATACCTATTTTGAGCAAAACTAACATACAGATGACCTGGTCTGGTCTTCAGCTACAAGGTTGTCAGTTCTTAGCTAATGTCTGCAGCCTGGGAATGAGCTGGCATCTGGCCTGCCAGCATCACAGTTATTTCTTAGATATTCACTTAACCTTGTGCCAAAAGTTTGACTCTCAGATGTAGTGGCCAGAGATTCTATTGTGCAAGTCTCTTCATTGCTGTCTTGGCTTTTCAGACATTTGGTAGTTGAAATGGGTAAGGAATGGTGTCCCTAGCCTCTGTTTATCAGAGGGTGGAGATGGATGGCAGGAGAGAGATCACTTGATCATTACCTGTTAGGTTCACTACCTCTGGGGCACCTGGCATTGGCCACTGTTGGTAGACAGGATACTGGGCTAGATGCACCTTTGGCCTGACCCAGCATGGCCATTCTTATGTTCTTATGAAAATGTTCCTGAAAAGTAACTAGAAATGTAAGTGATTAAGTTATAGAGAAGGTTTATTGTGTCATTTTCAACTTTCAGTACTAGCATTGTCTTGTCATAACATAGCCCAGATAGGATACAGTTTTTGCTATTCCTGATTTCTATCATTTTGATGTTAGCAGTCTTACTGAACTGGAAACGTATCTGAAAGTGGAAAAAGGAATACATTTTTTCTGAACTCCTAAGAGCGACTGAGATGACTTAACAACCGAGATGATCCATTTAAACTGAAAATAAGTTGTAATAGATCTTTTGTTATTCCAAAGCTAAATCTTTTGACAAGATTGTCTACAAATAAAGGAGGGAACATTCAACTCCCAACAGGAAAGGCAAAATTCCGTGACATCATGCCACATATTCTGCTATCAACAAGGTATGCCTAAAAATGAGGTCATTTTAGATTAACTATTCTTAGGAAGCCTATCATGAATTACTTTTTGGAGCACTCCAGAGAAAACAGGAAAAAAGAGGAAATGATGAAGACTGAAGGCATAAATAGCGAACCCCATACAATCAGCTTTCACTCTCTGAGATTCCAGCTCCTATGACTGCTTGCGATAATATAGGCTGCCTTATCAAAGTTGCCTAACACTTCACAAGATCCTGTTTTCAGTTGCTTATAACTTTGTCAAACTTCCATCCAGGTTAAATTTTCCATGTCTGGTATCTGCCTCAGGCTGACTTTTGTTGTAAAGTATCAGTCAAAAGAGTTTGGTTGTTTCTACTAATGAGGCTAGAGAAAAATAAAATCTATTTTGCCATTTAAAAATAGTTTGGCAGCCTTTTATTTGAACAGTTCTAACACCCTCATGCTTTGGACAGGGACAGGAAATTTGGCAGGAGGGTAGCCTTTGTGTCAGGGATTTGTCTTTTATTGGTCCTGTGAAAATCTGCCCAAATTTGGCCAAGTTATAAAGCTTTGGGGGGAGGGGGGAGAGGGAATCCCCACAATTCTCACATGCTTAGAGACATATTAGAGATTAGCGCTAAAATCTCTAAGATGCTCTCCTCACTGAGCATGCTCCAGCCTCTCACAGCTTCTTGTGCTGACCAGGCAAGGAAGTTTCCTTGTAATGGTTGCTCACAGCTGCTCAAGGATAGGGTGAGCCAGGCACTGGAACTGAGAGCAGGGAATCTGTCTCTTCTGTGCACCCAATGGCACCCCTCACTGACAACGAGACATCATGGAAGAGGAAGCCTCCGGACTCAAATCCAGAGGAAACAAAATCCAGGCCAGGGGGAAGGAAAAGTAGTAGATGGGGCCAAGGAGTCTGGTGACACAGGGACTGAGGGATCAGGGGAGGAGGAGAGAAGACTGGGATTGGAGTAGGGGGAGGGAGTGGGTTTGACTGGGCAAGGAGACTAAGTCAGAGAGCCACTGGGAATGAGAGCCACTGAAGGATGGGGGAGGGGCACTGGCAGCTTGTTGTGGGGAGGAAGGATGCTGAGATCAGAAAGGGGGAAACTGGGACTAGCTGCACAATGAGAACCAGTGAGATTGGGAGAGAACAGGGGTGTTGGGGAAGGGGAGGAGGGAAACATATCTGACAAGGAGCTTGGAGGTTGAAGGAGAACTGAGTATGGTTGGGCAAAAGACAGGATTCCTGAGTCTCACCATTCCTCTGCTGTAAGCAAATAGGTGTGAAATCCACTGAAAATGTGTCCCGTCTTCCTCTAGTGCTGGTTCACATACAGGATGAGAACCTACTACTGCTATCCATACCCAGAGAGAGGCATAACTATGCTGCTCCAACCCCTAATGCAATCAGCACTAAATCAATCAAGAATTCTTCTTCTGTTGACCTAGCTACTGTCTCTCAGGGAGGTGGATTAAGTACAGTGACTGAAGAAAACCTCCCATCACTGCTATCTACACTAAAGCATTATAGCAGCACAACTGAAGCACTGCAGCTATGCCACTATAGCATTTTAAGTCTAGACACAGCCTCACAGGCATATTTGTAAATTTTCCCAGGCTGATCTGAAACAACCAGTTTAATTCACTGACTACAGTTAATCCCTGTGTTTAGTAAATCAGTTAGTGGTAAATGTGAAACATGTTTTGATAAGAGATGTTTATGTATCCAAAACATTGAAGGATTTTTGCTTAATAAAAATAAACTTTATATTCTGTTGTGTGTATTTAATTCCAGTTACCATCCTAATGCAG